AGTGTTTGTGTGGGGATGGGTGTGTGAAGGGGAAGTGTGGGGGGTGGGGGTGTGTACGCATGAGGGGGAGAGTGAGGGGGAAAAGGGAGCAGGTCTCACCTGGGGCCATTGCTGGGGCTGTGCATGCACAGGCTTGTGTGTATGTGTGTGTGGAGTGTGTGCGGAGAGGCATGGGGGTGTGAAGGGCAGTGTTGTGGGTATGAGGGGGGCAGGTCTCACCTGGAGCTGTGAGGGAGGGTGCGTGTGAGTAGATGGGGAGGGGAAAAGTTGGGTCATAGCCTCCCTAGCTGATGAGGGACAGGCTCATGCCTGTCTTGGAGGCACCCTGCTGCTGGCAGCTTTCTGAGAACAAGCAACCCAACCAGAGCATCCCACCAAAGCCCCCTCCTCTAGGCAGAAGGCAGGGCAGGGTGCAAACCCTTGAGACCAACTGGTTTAGAGAGGCCCTAGGACGGTGACAGCCAGTTGGTCAGATGCACCTACAAGAACTCCTGACTCCCTGAACCAGCTTTGCCTTCTTTGAAGGAGAAGCTGGTGCAGAGTCCATCTGAGGAGGGGAGAAAGGGAAGAGGCTGAACAAGGCAAGCTGATGCTAGGGGTGGGCACTACCTCCGCTTTCCCCGGTAGCCGAACGCAGCTAACACCCACCTTGGCAAAGCAGCTGTTTGGCGAGGGGCAAGGCAAGGAGCTTTCAACCAGCACACTGAGTTGAAAGCTCTCAGTGGAAAGGGCTGGAAAGAGAAAACAAAAGGCAGCACATGTGCCAACAAATGGCATCATTTTAAAATGTTTTATTTAAAGATGTTTTACATATTAAGATGTTTTATTCAAAAAAGGGGAGAAGGGCATGGATGTGAATTCACAAGGAGTGCATCTCTCATATGATCATTTTGGCTCCAAACCTACAAGTCTGAGCCTGGCCCATGTGAGCAGTTCTCTGAAAGTCAGTGAGACTAATTTCTCACCCAAAGTTTCAAGGATGTATAAGAGATGGCAAGATAGACTGCTGCATTTTTTATCACATCCTATTTTGGTTTTTTTTTTTTAAAGTACAGAGTTTCATTATTATCCATGTTACAGATAAAAAGAGGTCTAAAAAGAGGAGGACATCTGACCACTCTCCTGTTGACAGACATGCACCTTAAACTATTACTGCATACATTTACAAAATGTCCTTGAGTTGTCATCTGTGTGATATGATGGCAAGTTTTCCTCTCTTCTTTTCTGGTCCCCCCTTTACAAGAAGCTTTTTCATTTGGTATGTTTAACATTATAAAGGTACCACATAGATTTCTGAAATAAAATCTTAACATCTTTGGCTGCACAACTTCCACATATGTTTTACTTGAAACATTGTAACTAGTCTTACTCTTTAGTTGGGATTAGTCATCAAGCATACAATTAAACCCATATGTAAATCTGCAAAGTTATGATGACAAAACATTTTCCATTAATTTACCTGGTCTTACAAACTTACGGCATTCCAGAACAATTACTTTTTGGGTTGAATGTGTCCATGTCCATACTTGCTTTCTATCTTTAGGTGATTTGTTGTTTTGTTTCAAATTGAGTAAATTCTATTTCCCTGTTTCTGAATTAACAGAGCATAAATACATATAAACATCTTTCACTGTGTAAACACCCTAGGCTTTTCAAAACAGGGCTACAATAGGAATGGTTGGAGTTTGAAATATACAGCTTGGTATGGACATACACTTATCTTCAGTAAAGAATTTAAGTAGTCACTTATTCCATGCTGTAAGTGTCCAAAATACTGTACATAGGTCAGATCTGTAAAGCATTTATAATCCTGAAGCATGAGACAGAAAGAAAGAGGATGGAGCACTGCATTCCCATTTCATCTCCCCCAGTGGCATGGGGCAGGGAAAGACTTTAAAAAGCATTCACAGTTCCTACTAGCCTGGCAGATTTCCTGCCCCCCAAAAGGCATCAAAAGGCTTATTCTCACTAACCTTAGTCACAAGGGAACACATATATAATATCTGCATATGGGCCAGGTCGAATACTCTGTATATGCTCAAACTTCAGATTCCCATTTCATCTCCCCCAGTGGCATGGGGCAGGGAAAGACTTTAAAAAGCATTCACAGTTCCTACTAGCCTGGCAGATTTCCTGCCCCCCAAAAGGCATCAAAAGGCTTATTCTCACTAACCTTAGTCACAAGGGAACACATATATAATATCTGCATATGGGCCAGGTCGAATACTCTGTATATGCTCAAACTTCAGATTCCCCAGCCAGTCTACAAAACTTCAGTTTCATAGATGCTAGGGTTGGAAGGGACCTGAGCAGATCATCAAGTCCGACCCGCTGCCATGGGAAGGAAAGAATGCTGGGATCAAATGACCCCGGCTAGGTGATTATCTAGCCTCCTTTTGAAGACCCCCAGGGTAGGAGCAAGTACTTCCCTTGGAAGTTGGTTCCAGATCCTAGCTGCCCTGACTGTGAAGTAGTGCCTCCTGATGTCTAGCCTGAACCTACTGTCAGTCAACTTGTGGCCGTTATTCCTAGTTACTCCTGGTGGTGCTTGGGTGAACAGGGACTCTCCCATTCCCTGCTGGTCCCCCTTGGTGAGTTTATAGATGGCCACCAGATGCCCTCTCAGCCTTCTCTTGTGGAGGCTGAACAGGTTCAGGTCCCGTAGCCTCTTCTTGTAGGGCCTACCCTGCTGCCCCCTGACGATGCGAGTGGCCCTCCTTTGGACCCTCTCAATGCTGGCCACATCTCTCCTGAAGTGCGGCACCCAGAACTGGATGCAGTACTCCAACTGCGGCCTGACCAATGTCACATAGAGGAGGAGGATCACCTCCTTGGATCTGCTCGTGATACATCTGTGGATATATGACAAGGTGCGGTTAGCCTTCCTGACTGTGTCCTCACATTGGCAGCCCATGTTCATCTTGGAATCAATAGTGACTCCAAGATCCTTTTCTGCCTCTGTGCTGACAAGAAGGGAGTTCCTCAGCCTGTAGGTATGCTGCTGGTTCTTCCTCCCTAGGTGCAACACCTTGCACTTGTCCATATTGAATCTCATCCTATTCTCATCCGCCCACCCCTGTAACCTGTCCAGATCTAGTTGTAGCCTGTCCCTCCCTTCTATCATGCCCACTTCTCCCCACATCCTAGTGTCATCCGCAAATTTTAACAAGGTGCTTTTCACCCCCTCGTCGAAGTCGCTGATAAAGATGTTGAACAGTGCGGGCCCTAGGACCGAGCCCTGGGGGACCCCACTGCCCACATCCCTCCAGGTTGAAAATGACCCATCCACCACCACTCTCTGGGTGCGGCCCTCCAGCCAATTTGTGACCCATCTGACTGTGTAGGAATTGACGTCACAGTCACCTAACTTTTTAATGAAAATGGGGTGAGAGACAGTGTCGAAGGCCTTCCTAAAGTCCAGAAAGACTATGTCCACCGTGACACCTGCATCCAAGGATTTTGTGACCTGGTCATAGAAGGCGACCAGGTTGGTCTGACAGGACCTGCCTCTAATGAACCCATGTTGGTTGCCCCTAAGCATAATCTCCCCTGCTGATTCCTCGCAGATGTGCTCCTGGATAATTTTCTCAAAGAGCTTCCCCAGAACCAAGGTAAGACTAACAGGCCTATAGCTTCCCAGGTCCTCCTTCCTCCTCTTTTTGAAAATGTGGACCATGTTGGCCCTTTTCCAGTCCTCTGGCACCTGGACAGAGCACCATGAGTGCTTGTAAAGCTGTGCCAAGGGTCCCGCAATGACCTCTGCTAATTCCCTCAGCACCCTGGTGGGGAGATCACCTGGACCTGCTGATTTGAACACATCCAGCCCCACCAGAAGTTCCCTAAGGTCCTCTCTGACCCTAGGCCTGGTGGTGCCTCTCCTGAGTCTGCCTGGAATCCTGGTGGGGGGAAGTCCCGGGCCTTGCTTAGAAAAATGGAGGCAAAGAATTTGTTAAAGAGGTCAGCTTTATTGTCTGGTGCAACCGCCAGATTGCCAAGCATGTCCTGCAGGGGCCCCATGTTACCCGGTGCCTTCTTTTTACTCCCTATGTATTTAAAAAAGGACTTCTTGTTATCTTTGATCCTGGTTGCTAGTCCTAGTTCTGTCTCCGCCTTAGCCTTCCTAACAGCCCCCCTACAGTCTCGTGCAATAGAGGTACAATCCTCCTTTGTGATGGCCCCTCCCTTCCATTGGGTGTACGCCTCTTTTTTAGCTTTCAGACATTCCTGAATGCCTTTGGTGAGCCATGGGGGCTTTTAAGCACTCTTGCCCCCTTTGGTTCGCGTTGAGACTGTCACCCTTTGGGTTCGGAGGATCGCCTCCTTAAGGAACGAACATTGGTCTTGGACTCCAAACTCCCCTCTCCTCTGGGACCTCAATGCTTCCCGTACTAATTTCCTTAACTCATTGAAAACGACCCTCCTGAAGTCAAGGGCTGCTGCCTTGTTGCAGGCCTTTGACACCCTGCACTGGATGGCATAGAGAGGTAGTAAGCTATGTTAGTCTGAAGTCAAGCAGAAGGATGAGTTGAGCTGCACTTATAGAATAACTGAATCAGAGATGCATAAGCTTTTGTGAATAAGATCTCAGTTCATCAGACGCTGTGAAAAGACATGCAGAGAGCAGGCTATCAAGTAAGCATCTGTGATTCAGCTAGTCTTACGCCATCAAGAATTTATTGCCAGGTTTTTTTGTTGCCAAGCAATAGAAATTTCATAGTACACCTAATTTTAATATGCTGTTTCTTACAAGAGCTCGGTGAAATCCATGGGCCAAAACTTTTATTAGCAAAAAGAAAAGAAAGAAAAAAAAAGAAAAGAATTCATATTCAATGGGCACATCTACATGTGCAATTAATATGACTGAATGTAATCTGGCTCAATTTGAGCCAAAATACAGTAATCCTGATGTCACCGTCTGCACGTATGTTTAAGTGTAGTTATTTACTGTGCTGTTGGATACCACTTGTATCTGACAAGATTATCAGGCAGCACAGTAAATTAGTCTATTGTGCCCTAATTGCTATGCATGTGTAGACGGTGACACTGTACTACACAAAAAATTAATCTGCTTCACAATAAAGTGTCTTGTGTAGATGTACCCATTAACACCAACACATTTAGTCAATACTTATTAGTTTTGTCAAATTTTTCATCTTGAGAAAACAAACATTCTGAAAAAAGTTTCAGCTTGACATTTTTCAATATCAAATTTTTTTTTTTCAAAATTTCCTTTGAATTTATTTAAAATACATAAAACAACACTCAAAAGTTGTTTCAACGTTTCACATTGGGTGGAACAAAACTTTTGTCCACATAAAATGGATATATTTTTCTTTTTAACCAAAACATTCAAAAGTTTTCACCTCATTTCAACCTAAAATGCACACACCTCTTTTTCTGAGATGTGTCAGAGGAACTTTGCTATGTTTTAATGAATTGGATCTTTTTTTTCTTCTCCTGCTTTGAATCATGCAATCAAGGACAGAAGTTATCCAAAGTCAGAAGCAAGATCTTCTTTAAAGTTAAGGTTTCCAACTCAAACTGAATTTATCCCTGCTGCTTCCCAGCAACTCCATCAGCACTTCATGGCCAGATCCAGACATGCAGGCACGTATGGTTTGTGGTGCCACAAACTGCATGTGTTGCATGCTAAACTGTGCCCCACACTGCTAATTTGCAGCACTGGGGCAAAATTTGCTACCAGGATTTCCTGGTAGCAAAAAAAACAAAACAGAAAAAAGGTGTCACAAAGCACGCTAAAGTGCTATGTGCTGGGACAAACAGGGAGACAGGGCAACAGGCAGCTCAGGACTGCCTGCTCCCCTGTCTCTAAGCACTGCGGAGCACCCTGCACCCCAGCTAGCTGCTCCCTGGCTGGCTGGGGTGTAAAGTGCCTCGAGATGGGGGACCTGTCTCCAAGTGCCTCAGCGCAGGGGCTCCACAGGCTGACTGCTCTCCACGTGCCTCTCCGCAGTGGCTGGGGCACAGGATGCCTCAGTTTGGGGGCTGCCTGCTGCCCCAGCCAGTGTCCCCTACCCCAGTGCAAACTGCACAAGCAGGGGTGTGCACTGCAGCACAATTTGTGCTGCTACTATCTGGGCTGCAAACACACAGTCCTGCTCTTGTGGGTGTGGCTCATCAGTTTATCTGAAACAGTGGAATGGCAAAGGTTAGGGGCACCCTTGCAGTTCAGTATAGTTTGTTGTAAATGTTTATTGCTATTGATAACATTTAGTACATATTCCCTTTGAATATTCCCATGTTTATAATTTGAGGGTATACATTTGAATTCCTCATGTCAGTGTGGTCAAGGCAATAGAGCACTGAGCTAAACAGAGAGTCCTGGGGCTCTTCCTGGTTCTGTAACTATAAACAAGGCACTTAATCTCTCTATGCCCCTATTTCCCTGTCTTTAATATGGTGATAACGGTGGTTACTTTCACTGCTAGAGCAATGAGCACTCTGAGATATGAAAAGTACCATAAAAGTACTATTATATTCTAAGTCTCCTTATTTTTAAGTCA